TCAGTGTTGTTCCGGATTCACTTATTATTATTAAGTGTTCTGTCTTACGACAGGTCCATTGCTCTGCCCAAAAAGAGCTCTCCAGTTGTCCCTATTCTCGGCTTCTCGCTTTAATTCCTGGAACGTCATCTTCTTTCCTTGTTTAAGGTCGTCGGTTAGCTGTATCAATCTTCTTCCCAGTCCTCGCTTTCCTTCAACCTGGCCTTCGGTGACATCACTCAGTAATCCATTCCTTCTCATAATATGTCCCAGCCAGTTAGCTTTCCTTCGTGTAATCGCCTGCAGAATGCTTCTTTGCTCGTTGACTCTCCTCAATACTTCTTCGTTGGTCACTCGATCCGTCCACCTGATCTTCTCTATTCTTCTCCAACACCACATTTCAAAACTCTCCAGGTATTTCTGTTCCTTCTTCCTGAGTGTCCAAGTCTCTGCTCCATACGTAACACTTCACTAGTTTCGTCTTCATCTCCAAGATTCACTGTTACTGTTTCAAACGATAATAAGTAAGTAAGTATTTTTAATTTCTTAGATTGATTTAAAAGTAACAACGGTCAACTCCATTAGTGACTGAGAGGATTCTCATTGTAATGTGAGAAATGGCCAAGTGCAACCACTGGTAGTCGACGTGAGGTAGGGGGTAAGGGGGGCCCTGGTGTAATGTACTGCAAATCGTTCTTTGAAAATTACTTAAGCGAGCTCGCCGATGGGCTAGATATTACATGACAAATACTCACTCCAGCCATTTTTATTGCCCGAGATTCTTTGCTTTGAATTCTTTATTTTTAGTCTAGTATTTCTTTCCTTGTTCCTTCTTAATATTTTATTTTATTCAATCAGCGAAACTCCTTTCATGATGCCGACTTTAACGCCCTATAAAACTGCCTCGGTTTGAGGCAGGTTAGCTCAGGGTCGCGTTAAAAACGCTGTGGTATGTATTGTGTTACTGAACATGGTCGTGCTTCAAAAACAAAGTATCCTAGACAGAGACCCATGAGAGAGAACCGTGGACCATACACACACAGAAATTCTTTTTAGTAATATCTAGGACATTTCGCTCGTACGGTAGATATAAAAAAATGAGAAGCCTCTTTGTAGGCAAATCTCTCTGAAACAGGTAACTTGCAAGATCAACAACCAGATTAAGTTTAATGAATCTTACAGGTATATATATATATAGAATTGTATCCTAAGATACAAGGGATTCATAGCATTGTATACATTTATTACGATTTTTCGTGGTTTTTCTTAGTCCCTCCAGGTAAATTATGGGAGATTGACCGCTTCCTTCCACATTCTTTTAAAATCAATATTCACTGATCATTCTGCAATTCAAAATTATATACGTCTGTTCTAATCTAAATAATTGAAAACGCCACCAAATAAATTAAGCACAAAAATTGAGGTTTCGAGCTAATCCCCGCATTTGACAACAAACTGCTGATGAGTAGTGTGTCACGCACCGGCCGTCTTTACCCCGCGGTAGTCATTACATACTAATAGCTGCCACTGGTCGAGGACAGTGTAGAGGTGACTCTCGTTATACGCGCTACAACATCCGCATTTCTGAAATATTTCAGAATCATCAGGAGTATCAATGTCTTATCCGCGGATAAATTTTAAAAATCTTATTACCTACATCGAACAAGGGAATGTGACACACGTGATAACAAAATTTTAGCTTCGGTTTGACGTCAACATGGTGATTTTGTTTTGCCTTTCCTATTTTAAGCTTTTTGAATTATATTATATAAAAAAAATCGCCTATATATGAAACTCACTTTTCGATGTTTCTGCGTATAAATGGAAATAAACGATGTATTATGAAAAGATTCCTACGGTTTCTTGCAACAAACGTCAGTAGTTCAATTTATAAATCATACACTACAAGCGTATGAAATCGAAGAACAAATTTAAAAATTATAAATCACCGAATAAAATACATAAATAATGCACTGGAATTACTTTCACCGTACGTGACCGTACCTCACATGCCCCACCGGGTAGAAAGCCGAGACACAGATTTCGATTCTCGTCTCTCAAGGTGAGACGATAGTGTTTTGTTTATGTTCATTGTGTCTCGCGCGATCGATGTTATGAGCTAATGCATAAGCCAAATACTTGAACAACCTGGTTTAAAGGTGAATGTGGCTTCTTTGTTGGATAAGCGACACTTCTATTGTTACCACCAACGCAAATAATTCCTCAGCAGCAAGAAAATATATAACGGTAGATAATTTAGCATCACACAGAAAAGCCATTGTTATGTATCGACTTGAATTATGTCCACAAATTCTGTGGAAATTCTCAGTCATGCTGACATGTTACGACATACGTACGTAGGCCAAATTCAGAGAAATGAAAGTTTAACTGTAAAGATATTGGACATATTTTTACTTTAACTTCCTAAAAATACTAAATAATTTACGTATTATTTTATTCCAAGTAACATTCAACTATTAACTCAATGAAACAGATTTGTTTACAAACTCATAGTCGCTCAGTTGACCAAGAAATTCATTGGTTTTTTTATATAGAACCCAAAGGTTTGTCACCGTGTTTATATGATCCCAACACGCCAATCTATCCTGAAGTCAGTCCAAATATTTATTTTGAGGATGCTGAAACACGTGGGAGGTTAATGAATAAAAATACTAGGACTTGTGGATGCCTAAATTTTAGAATTTTACCCAGTCCGATGACAATCTGGCCCGTCTCATCCCAAGTCCGAAGTTCATCTTCAGACATGTTAACTGTGCACCACCGAAGTTACACTTTATTATATTCCAGCCAGAACTAAAACCCATGCATTTACAATCATTAACACGCGTGCCATAAATGCTAGTATTTTAATGGCTGTAAGAACGTCGAAGGTTATTCTGCATTTAAGGAACGGTACAATGATATCTGATGCCAAGTTTATAGGGCGTTATCTATGTCTATTTTTGAAGGGGGGAGGGTTAGCTACAAAAAACTTCCGATTATGAAGTTGGTAGGATTTGTTCCTGGAGCCCAGCTGTGTCACGAACCACAAAAGACTTTTTTTGAAAAAAGAATTGTCCGAAAATCCCCAAAATGTTGCATATAACGTTTGACTGCTGTCATTTCAAACAACGCCACACCCAATCCCTGTCCACGGACTGGATTTGGGCTAAGGCCCTCAGGCCACACCCAGTCCCTTGCAGACCTCTAGATACACACACACACACTTCTAATAGGCATTTTAAATACTATTCTAACCGGTCAGAACAAGTTTCTACTTGCTTCAATATTTTGCATAACTAGCTATTAGCAAATTCGCGGCGCTAACGTTTTGACTCAAAATTTTAGTCTTAGAACCAGGGCTGTGGAGTCGGTATTAAAACATACGACTCCGGTACGGGTGGCGTGTGTACCAACTCCAACTCCAACTCCACAGCCCTGCTTAGAACCTTTTTTTTTCAGTACAGATCACTTCAACACGTCTGCAGAAACCACGTTCCATCATGACGACAGTATCCGTAATATATCGAGGGCATCATGCCACAAAAATGTCGTCCAAGTACTTGAATAATCGGAGATATATGATCCAAAATAAAAACAGCATGTATGCCAAGCCAGAATAGCGTAACGCTAATGCTGCTCTACACAGATACAAAAGTTATATTTGTGTCTGAACATTAATAGCGCACAAAAATCGCATCATTAAATTACTTTTACCACCATTAATATTGATAAATTTATTTGATTGATGTAAGTTTTGTGTATAAGACACAAAAGATTTTCAATTAATTCATTTTTCGAACCGGAGTAAGAATTTAGTTTTCCGTAAATCAGCCATTTTTTTTTTACATAAGGCTTTGATCTTCTGGCATAATGACCTCGAAATCTTTTCAAACACACGTGAAATCACTTACCTTTTGAAATAAGTTGTACTGAATATACTGCACATGAAAATCCGGTTCCCAATCACATCGCACTTTACAAAATAATTAAAATATGCACAGCCATCACTGCATTGACAAGCACACCGTAGAGCACACGGAAGACTGGTCTGACGGCAACCACCCTCATACTTCAGGCACAATCGATAATTTCGATCGACTTCAGCCGGATGTCCACATTAAACAATTATCAGTTTTGTTGATAATGTGAACGCACAATCAATGGCATTGCCAACACAATATATCGACGAAGAAAATATTAGTAAGATTCAAAGCTGTCGATATTTATTGGCAAGGATGACAGTACTGCTTCGGCGATCATAGATGCACACTGAGACACCCTTGATTCAACAAATATTTTGTTGCCCGCACGACCTATTTACATAACCACGTCTGATACGTTTGGATAACCTGGCCTCCACATTTCATAAGCTACTTCTACATTTCACATAGTTTCATATAACCATCAGGGCATCACATTGTATAGAAGTGGCCATTGCATTCACAGACATCATTCAGAAATGATGTCACCTTCATGCCACGAGGTTTGGGAATGTGCACATAACATACCATAAACATTTGTCTTTTACTTACCGATTCCAAGAAATGATCAATGAATTCACTAAAGAAGTTAAGATTGGATGCTATTAATGTCACTTCTTAACCTAACCTAACCTAACCTAGAACTAATAAACTGCAATCAGTTACATAACCTGAAACAGTTTTAAATGATTTGTTAATTTTGATCAATAAATATGTTAAACAATAGCTCAGTTTTTCTATAACAAACAACAGAAACAATTAAACATAAAAAAGTGGGATTTATGTGGAATGTAAAATATCGAATATAAGGGGTAGTTTTGAAATTTGTTGGTAATTTAATGAGATGAATTCCTGTCAAACTTTAAACTGCCTACAAAGTATAAAAATAAGATCATGTAAAATCTGCAAATACATAAAAACATGGGAATGTAATGTAGTGTTTTGAAAACAGCTTTGGAAATTAAACTTTCCAAAATGATGGTCACAACATCATTACTTATTAGTTTGTAATGTCCATTTTTCCACATGTAACAGACCTCAAATTAAATGATGTTTTTATTAAACTTCACACGGTAGATCTACTCTAAATTTTTACAAACCATTCTGATTTTGGTAGTTTGCGTCATATTCATCGCCAAGCGTCTAAAATCACCCTACCACGCACCAAGCAGCTTTTATCTGCTCAGTTTAAAAGTCATTTCATATGTCAGGGCTTATAAACCTCAGTTATGACAACTGAAGAAGTTTTGTTCCAGCAATTTCCTGCCATCAGCTCCTTTCGCAAAACATTATTATATTGTATCCAATACAATGGAGTTTTACACTTCAAGCTGATGAGCTGACATTTCTATAAATTCTCAGATGTTACACGTTCATTTTTATCATAATAATACCTAAAATAATCATAAGACACAATTTGTATTTTTCATATTGAAAATTCACAATGATGTTAATATGTTTATAAATGTATTAAAAATATTAAATAAATATATCAATTTCAGAACGTCCCATCACTGTCATGGAATAAAGCCCATAACTGTCAGTAACAAAAACGTAACAAAAGCAATGTCTCAATGTGACGTTAATATATTCTTCCAGGAAATCTTTCGCCATCATCCACATTGCATCATCAACATCTGCTCTGTGAATACCATCTAAAAGTAGTTTAAGAAAAAATTAACAATACACAAATTACATCGCAAGACATATAAATATTAATACCCATCACACATTTTAATGCGAAGTACTATAAACAAACTTAATTACACATCAAATACACATATCTACACGTAGAAAGAAAGGAGACTGTGTATAAGGTCCAGGTCACCCTAATACAGCACATATAATATAGTTACAAAATAAAATGAGCATTACTTCAATTTTATACACAAGTTCTATCGATTACAATGTATGAATACAGCACAAGAATAAATAAATGCCCTATACTTGTTCCTATGCAGACAAAACAAACATATGATATTAAAATTAAGACTAGGCCTCCCTCATTATTCTATAATCTCACAGTATTTTAACCAATGTAATTCTTATGTAGAAGAGATTATTTATTATTGGTATGTAAATGTAATCAAAACTTGGTTGTAATAATCACATATATAGTACACTTGATACACAGCTCTAATAACCATCAGTGGTACACACCTAACCTCACATTCCATAACAGCACAATGACAAATTCTTTAATGCTATTTATTTCATAAGGACTCAATGCCAAAATTCCTCTGAACCATTCTAAAAATATTATACAGCATTACATCCACAAAGAAAATAGAGACCTAACCTCACATTCCATAACAGCACAATGACAAAATCATATTCTTTAATGATATTTATTTCATAAGGACTCAAAGCCAAAATTCCTCTAAACCATTCTAAAAATATTATACAGCATTACATCCATTAAGAAAATAGAGCCTGATCTAACATTTCGGGTATATTAGTTTTCTAGCATTTCTTCCCAATTAAGCACCGAAGGAAACTGTTATAAATCAAATACCTTCCACAGTGGAATGAACTTGTTATAACTAGTAACTATATATCAAAGAAATCATCTTTATATGTAAATGTAATATTTACTAAACATAAGAAACTGATATTTTATAGATACATTTATGAAGTTTTGGGATAATTAATTATAATTTAATTTAGAAAGTATGTTACCGTTCATTGCATTTCAATGAACTGCTTTGTGACCAGTGTAATATGTGATTAACTACAGTTACATATTATATAGTTTAAGAAATCCTAACAGCAATTAAAATTACTTCTAATAACTTATTAGAGCCAGGATAGTAGAATGCCCCTCAACCTGGTTAAAGGTCACTATCATAAACACACCTCAACATTGTATAATGGATGCAATATTATTAGATGTTCTTTATACATTTTATGGTTTTTCTCTTACTAATGAATTGTTATGTTATGTTTAACAACACATAATGCTAGTAAATTTAAAATTATGATCAGAATTTAAAATAAATTATGTTTACACATAATTCAAAATAGAATACTTGATCATATTCAGCTCAAAAAAGTTTGAAGCAGATGACTAAACATGTTTTTGTGTTGTAATTCGCTCAAAACATATTCTAGCCTCTAATTTATAATCAGCTTCTTATTTTTTTGCCTTCTTAATATGTTCTACGCCCTCTTCAGAATAAATCATATTGTTTATAAGATATTCAGTAAGTGCATATGAAAATGTATTACTTAAACAAAACTTAATATCACTGTTTTGCTATTTATTAACCATCAGCATAAAACCACTCAACACGGACTCTTTGGTGTCATGTTATCCACTTCATGCTTTAAATGTTGCCAACTTAAAAGTTCAATGACACTGCCAATTTTGTGTTATAAATATTTGTCTGAGAACTTCTGAGAGAATTCAACGATTTTCACAAAAATGAATCAGACTTCAATAAAATAATGTATGTATTATGTGATCTGATCGGTAATCATTTATTCCTTTTTTTTTTAACAAAAATATAATATTTGGAACAAATCTAGAGGGTATAATCAAATAAACCACGCATAAGGAAAACCGTCTTGCCATTAATGTTCTATGCCTGTGAGTGACTCTGCGCAGTTCTCAACTTCTTCAATATATAATGTTAGAACAAATAAACAATGAAGATCATAAGATCAGACTATGTAAGCATATGAGAAAAGTAGTGGGAACAATATATCCCTATGGCACGATTCCATTGAGAGCAGCACAATTCACAAAAAGAAAGATCGATATCAAATCAACTTGTGATGTTTGCAGTAAAGCACATCCTCAACAGAAAATGCACTTTTAAGCAGTTCTGCACTAAGGACGGTGTTATATGTGGCAAATGAAAATGAGTACCACTATTTATGACTAGTATAAAATATGCAATCTCATTTGTGCCTGGGAAACTAATCTACAAGTTACAATATCATACAGTTCTTAAAATAACATTTACCAGACTATATAAGCTGTCCGTGAGTTGAATCCAGATACCTGAAAACACTTTAAGAGTTCTGTAAAATTGTTTTCTTGTATTTTGTCTAAATTATAAATAAAATCACCTGCTTCAGAAGTTGGATTCTGTTCCGATCCTATTTCACCTGAAGACAGACGCAAAATCGAGCTTTTAAAAATGTTACGATTTTATTTATTATTCAGACAGTGAACCAAGATCAAGAAACCGATTTTACGTATTACGATGCACCATCATCACAGACATTCCACCTTCGCTGCAAGAACTGTTATTACAATATTATTACAGATACAAAGCTTTAAAAATATTAATTTTTAAGTGTTTTCGAAATGATGCATTTTATCAAATATGTACAATGCAACAGCAAACATATAGAATTATTTTAAACACAAAGGATGAAAGAAAGAAAAAACACAAGTTAGACTTTGGAAAGTAATGGAAATTCCTATGCGACTTCCGGAAAGTGAAACTCGAGTTCTGACAGACATATGAAAACGGGATTTAATTTGCTGAAAAGGCATTTTTAAAATGTGTTGGAGGACGTACACATTTTAATAGGATGAAGAACGACGATGTTAGAAGATCCATATAGAATAAGAAATAAAATCATGCAGACAGAACATCAGGGCATATTAACAGAAGAGCGATTAAAAAACCCATTTTTCATTCCTGTTCATGAGGAATGACAGATATTGGCAGACCCAGTATATGTTGGACTGAAATTAGTTTCAGTGTGCGGCCTGAAATTTATCCTTAAAAAGCAGTGAAGCACAAATGACTGACCTCAACATAATCCTGTTTCATATTAGGGAAGTCCTGGGTTCAAATCTTGAACCAGACACTTTCTATCCCGACTTAGGTTTTTCATGGTTTCCCTCATTACCTCCAGGAAAATTCTGGAGAGCAGTACCTTAAATTTCTTCTCCCTTTCATAACCTTTCCAGTTCATTCTTCACTGAACATTCCATCAAATAGTATTACATACAGAAAAACTTCAAGAGTAACTTCAATAACTGGCTGTATGCATGCCCCTAAAATTTAAATCTAAAATTGCTGCCTCAGTTTAAGTTGTAAATTGAAAATAATATATTTGGGGAAAACATTTTTTTCGTGAGTAAGAAACCGCTAACAATGCAATGGTTAAATTGTACAGCGGTCGTATACAGAGACGGGTTTCGGTAAATTCTCTGCAGGCGTCCAGATAAGAATTTCCGGAAATTAAAAACAAAACGGTTACATAAGTGGAGCATCGCAACAGATGACTACGGCACCAAAAACATTCTAAATGTCGCTTCATTTAGTAAACGATGTCAGAAATATCCATTACCAAATTCCGGTTTCATTGCTCGACGTTTCGCGCTTGGACCCTCAACAACCGTTAACAAAAAGCTAAACGATTTCAGAGCACGAAACACGTGTACAAGCGACTCATTCTGGCTGACTTTATCCTTACTGTCTCTGTAGGGTAGACAGTTACTACGTCAAAAGAAATCATCATTTACATTTAATTTTAATTAACGATAATTTTACGAGTAATGTTATTTACATGCTCATGTACATATTACAGACACGTAGTATTTAAGCAACTTGTTTCTTTGAAAGGTATCAGATGTCACAAATTGTATAACTGCTAATTCTGCTGTCTTGCGCCAGAATATACGGAATAAAAATCAAATCCACGTGTTTCCTCACCTACGAAACGTGCACCTTCAAAAAATGGTTCGACTCTCTAATTCTTTACTGATACGTGTGAACCGAACACAGCCAGCGGATATTATTAACTTTCCATGGGTAAAATAATGTTTTTAGTTATGGTATATACAGAACACACAAAGCAGTGCTGCCAACGAGATTAAAGAGAACGTTACTTTACTCAATCCCTAGAAAATTCTGTCTTTCATTCACAATATTGTCACATTTTAAAATTATAACCATTAACCTTAAGGTCAACGTACAAGTAAAGTAATGTAGAAAACAATTCAGTGCTATTAAAATAAACAACTATCACGTGACTGTAGCCGACTTGTATCCACAAAAAAAAGTCCTCTTCTATCATTACAAAGCTTAAAAAATAATTTTGGTAGTGAAAAAGTTATGCGCGGACAGAATTCGGATTCTGAAATATAACTCTTTTTTTTTTTGTAATAATTTTACGTATTTGGCACGCAACTCAGTTTATCCGCCCGAAGGACTTGGGCATTAGGGAGCGAATATTAGCCGATCTGTTTTGGAGTCTGTTACGTTCCATACGACAGCCAAATTTTTAGCAGAAGAACGGTTCTGGAAGACAATTTAAAATATGTCCAAAAATATGTTTCAGTCATCTGATTTCAATTCACATCTATCAAGTTTGCTAAAGGCAGCTTCAGTTACAAGTTTATATTTTTTTTAAAAAAAAAACTTAGGGATGAAGAGAATTATCCTATTTCATACAATATCTATGTATATTATTTACATTCCTTATATATTACTTTCATTATTTAGCGTACACTACTCATTTTACGCTCTGACCTTAAGGATTAATGTCCCCTGTTCACACAAAAACAAAAATTACTCTCAAATGCTACAAACTTGAACTTTTAAGCATTTTACACTGAATGTGATACAAACAGGGGGGTTGGAGGGGGCAGGGACGAAGTAATACCACGCTATTATACCCTGTATAATAAAGCCGACGACGACGACGACGCCTGGATGCGTAATATGCGTAACGGATACAGACGCAACTACCGTGAAATTCACACAAGATCTGGAGAGTTGTGGCAACACTTGCAGGACGCACTGTCTTTCAGGGGCTGGTCCACCGTGACCAGCCTTACAGAATCAAGGCCCTGTACGCCATCCTCAATCTCACTCTCTTCCAGCAGTGGGACACCTGAAACACATTTCTCAGGTCTCTACAGCATCACAGCGTCTCATAGCTGCATCAGTCTTTCCATGGACCAGAGATTAACGTCGCGACGCGAGGAGCACAAGAAGCGATCACGTATCGTAACGAAGAGGGCGTAATTCTTAAGTGGCCCGTTCCACAGAAAATAAAAAGTTAGTTCCCTGAAATACCACAACCTAAGTTGCGGAGACTTGAAATAAAATGAAGACGGAACACATACAAGGAGATGGGCGGGAAATGTAGCAAGCACGGGGAGAGGGGAAGAGCCTAACGAATTTTAGTCGGGAAGTCTTAACGGAAGAGACCGCTCGCAAGACCTAGGCACAGATAAGAGAATAAGATCTTAACGAAACCAATTTCTTGAGAGACTGGGCAAATATCGGCTTCTCAAGAAGGACCCTGGTCCATGGAGCGACAGGATATTAAGAGTTATGATGAAATGTCTGGACTCCGATGGCATGACACCAACGCCAAATTCAATTAAAACCGGTCTGTTGTTTAAAAAGTTATTTAAATGGCAGAATCGCTCAGTTACGTTGCCAGTCTTTCTTACCCTCGGTGTTCAGCACAGAGCTGGTGTCAAAAGAAGCGAGGCTGCCACATATAGCGCGACAAGAAGCCGTCTGGGAGCCACTGCTACACGTGTGTGATGATACTGTGTCCAGCGTCACGTTAGTCGACACCTCGCTCGGAGTCATCGTGTCTGTCGACCCCATCGAGTCGCCTGCAGCCGACCCACTTCTCAGAGATGCAGTGTGCGAAGTACTGCATTGAGAACAAAGCATTTAGAAAAATTTTATGAACCCACAAGGAATGTAGAGTGTAACATAAAAACTAGACATAAATTCATATTTATATAGCTTATAAAGTAGTCAAATTAAGATAATAATAATAGGAATGACATGCATTGGAAGGGGAAACAGAGAATGCACACATAGTTTTCTGTAGAGGAACCTTTTGAAAAGTCTGAAGATATAGAAGGATAATATTACAATGTGCTCATGCCGCGGTAAGAGCCAAGTCCTAAACGATAAGTAAATAAAACGCAATTTACATTAATTATTTTCAAATCAGGTCTATCGATGTTTTTTTAAAAAAAATACACAAATGTGATATGAAAACTGTGATTATCACCCTTATGCTAGAAGCGGTAAGCTCCTCTGAAACGTCCGTCAATACCAACAGGATAAAACGGTACTAGATGCCACAAAACAGCCATCTTCATTCTATAAACTGGTTATAAATTTTTGGGGTTTAAACGAATAATAGCTGTGATGCTATTTGAGTTCAAAGAACAAAACGAGGTGTGTTTATACGGGCCTTGAGGAGCGACGTAAAATTATCACAGAAAAGGCGAATCGTAATTTATGATAATGCGAGCACGTCACGTGCCAGAAACCACGTGATGACGTGTCCCGCCAGGAAGCGTTAATGGGCTGACACTGAACTACGCTTTAATGTTGTCCTGCGTTGTTTTTTAATCTTTCTCACATTCCGCGTCAGACAGAGAAGGCCAGAGAACGTTTTTGCTAACAATAATAAACTCACCTGTTGGTGCAAACAGACGAACAACAATCATACTACATTAAAAACACTTTATATGCTTACTCTCAGAATCCTTATGGACCCCTTTGGATCAGAAACGTAGTATGAGATGTAATCGGAATGAACTTCATCTTAATGCAAGCCACGAATCATGGGAACAAACCGGAACGGTTCGATTATCGAATAAGCTTTGGTTAGTAGTCGGCGCGATACAGAGAGATCGATAAGTCACGCAACATATTCCTGACACATGTTCCATTTGTCAAGAAATAAATTACATTGTAATAAAATAAAACAATGTTATACAAAGCGTTTCAAATGCCCATCGCGTTCACGGATTCATGCATTCACTGTTTTGGTCATGTCTGATGTAACCTGGTGAAGATTTTCTGTCACGAAAACTTTTCAGAAGACGCGATAATGTCGATCTCTTTCACAAAGAAGAATCCGAAAATGTATCCCTGCACCAATTCAGGTTAATTACGAACCAGAAGCTAGGTGTTCTTCAACAATGAACATTCGTTTCGCTTCTGACAAAGACGTCCTCCCACTTCGACTGCTGACAGGCAACTAAAGGACTTGCGCGAGCAAGTTACATCACGTGACCTGCGCGGAGTGAATTCTTGCATAATCACGATACTGAGTGTTTAATAATCCAATATAATTGTACTCAGCAAATATTTTAATGTGTTGCGTAACTACTCTGAACCGAACACACAGTTCACAAAGGCCAATATTCCAATGAACAACCCCCAGGGGACGCATCCACACCGCATTGGAACCTGAAACCGACTAGTTTAGACTCACCTGGATGACTGGCGGGTGACATGCGCAGTCTCTCCTCGAGTACGACGTCCCCCGGAACCCAACGCATTCCAATGGGGGCCCCTGTGGGAACGATACGGCATCAAACCCCCAGATGACGCGATCACACCACCACTATAACGCTCCCTTATAGCTTCCTCATAGCTTGGGAGCGATGACTGCAGAAGAATCAGTAAAAATACAAACATTTTTTCATAGTTACGTAATTAATATTCAAAAGACGTCAAGAGCTATAACTACAGGGTGATTAATAAATAGTGACAGGAAGTGGGGGAAAGCAGTCACAATCTAATTTACAGTACTATATCAACATTTGTGTGTAGTGACTGAGGAAAAGCATGACTTAAATCAATACAACCAGTCTCTGGGCTGAGAAGAAAATACTGGAAATCCTCACCATTCCTTTCTTTGAGTGAGAGACCAAACAACACCTTTAATATTATACAGATTTAAAATGACTTAAGATTTGATTTAAGTGACTAACAAGAACCTATTGTGTCAATATCTCACCTCGCCAAGCTGGGCATCATTTGCAATGAGGGCAACTCGGTCTGGGTCATAAACCAGCGGTGGGGTAGGGGCCCTCGGTGATGAGGGGGGCGCTCCCTGATCCCGGCGATGATGACGGACCACAAAGATACAAGTGCAAAACATAACGAGCGTAAGGCCAACTGCGGTTGTCAGGGTCACGAGAAGCATTATAGTGTCCACCAAGCCCAGCGGTTGAACCTTGCGGTCTGGACCATGAGCTGTCCAGTATACCTCTGGAATACACGACGATCTCTGTAATTCAATCAGGCCTAGAAACCTACGTCTGTAAACACCACATTCGTGGAGCCAAACACATTAAATCAGTAGCACAACACTCGAATTGTATTTAATAAAACCTGGTTTGAATATCAATCAGGATACCAATTATCACCATTTTGGTTTCTCCTGGTTTCCCCAAGTCCCTCCTCCATGACAGTACTTGAAAGAAGGCCATGATTCATCACCATTCTAAATAATTCTTTCCCAACTTTCCAGAAGGGCGTATTTCTCTCGAGCTGACAGGCAGAGTGCACACCCCAGCCTCTCCGAAAAAACAACTGAGGCCTGGAAAAAATTAAATTAAATTTACTACGAAATTTGAAATCATTCATCATCAAGTGGGACACTTGAAAATGACCGTTTAATTGGACGTGGTGTCATGTGGTCTCGTAGAAACTGACTGAAGTTTCGAAGGTGCTTACACCCTCCAACATCAGGACGATAAGATTCTTTTTTCCCTACTGAAAATGTCCATAAAATCGTAGTGTCTTATTATTTTATATTATTATTTAGTGTTCTGTCTGAGGACAGGTCCATATGAACAGGATCCTTCCATCCTTTTCTCGGACTGGGACCTGTTCATATACGTTCTTGGCAGATGATCCAGAAGTGGGTTGCCATTGCCTTCTTCTGTGTGTGAATGGAGTAATTGTTGGGATGCCACAGAGGAAAACTCCGTGTTGCCTAGACCAAGGCCTTGCCCAACACAAGTTATAAATTCCGCCACCGCCGGGAATCGAACCCGAGACCCCAGGATTACAAGGCCAATGTTTGTTTGTTTGTTTTTCTCGTACTCCACCAGACTTTTCATTTAGTAACGTGCATAATGGATTTTCCACGGCCTTGCCCAACACAAATTATAAATTCGGGCACCGCCGGGAATCGAACCCGAGACCCCAGGATTACAAGGCCAGCGTTCTATACGTCGGTAGGTTCTACTTCCTAATAGTACAAGACGATTTCACATCACCACATTTCATTGCAACTAACGAGCGGACATTTGTTAACGGTGGACGTTGAGACGTTTGCGGTTTAAACTCGTTAATAATACTTCGTTCCTCATGACACGTGTACAGAAAC